GAAAAATGCTTCCATTTCAGCTGTTTATCCCCCCTTTTGTCCATATAAAAGAACTTTGCGATGAAAGACGACAGTTTTTTAACAAAAAAATGCAAAGGAAACTGTTGATAGATGAACAATAAGGATGCGGTGTCCTCGGTTGTTTGTATGCGTCATCCTTCGGCAAACAATTCCTCCTCGGACACTGTCACGTTTATACTTAGTTTTATTTGGAGGACAAAAAAAAAGAAAAGAAAAGAAAGATGAAAATTCTTACACGACAACGACAAATCCCTTAAAAGAAGACAGAAATAAATTGTTTCTCTCTCTTAAAACTTGAACATGGTTACATATAGACATGCTAATGTCATTCATTGACATCATCCTCATATCATTTCACTTCAGGCAATCTAGTAAAATACGTTGTTAGTAGGAACTATATCTGTATGGCATCTTTTCTTGGCCAGTTGAACAACATGCGTTATTCCTATAAGAAACGAAACTATTCTGGATCCCTTTCTCTTGTACTTGTAGAGCTATCAGTATCTGTTGTAGGGTTAGCCCGCATTTCGTTGAGAAAATTTGTTACAGTCTGCACAAAGACGTCATTGTCGTCAGGTTGAGTGCTTGAGGATGCTGGACTAGTAGCAATGGCATTGCTACTCCTCCTACAACTCTATGAAAAATAGAACTTAGTGAAGCTACAATTGGCCAAGAATTACGTCGGGATGCAAGCAATTATCCAAATGTGATCCTGCATTTCATTTTATCTTGGCCAGTTCATTCATATTAACCTATCATCTTAGAAGAGAAACGTCAGCTAGTCAGCTACAATAGAGACTCACGTCGGTTCACTTTTAACTATTTTGTGCTTGACATGCAAGAGCATGTAAATGTGATGCGCTTATAAGGTATACAGCTAGAGATCACTGAGATTAGACAATTATATCAGCTGATCATTCACATACTCTTTTTCGAGTTCCTTAGGGTTCAAATGCTCAGGTTTATACGGATCCCTCTGCCTCTTAAAAAAAATATCTTAAGTTCAAATTTTCTTTTCTTATAACTTTTTGCTACTCATCAAAATATGATGCAATTATGATATGCGTAAAAACAGATCGCTGTTAATGTCAACTAAGAGAACCTTACCGAGGATACTCGTCGCCGCTTTGGCGGTCTGGTTCTCGTGTTCATCATCTCAATCAGCTCATCAAACCGAGAAATAAAAAAATCAACAACACAAATCAATTTTCATTTCATCAGAGAGTAAAAGATAACTAATTAATCTTTTAGTTTTAAGAGAAAAACAGTGCATATTGTACTTCTATCCTCACGCTGCAACATGCATGTGCTTCTATACAGTTATATGAAACCAAAAAAAAAAACTTTATTTTATTGGTAATTTGGTAGTTGAGGGAGGATTTCGAACTTGCTCCTCATTTATATATATCTACTGAATTGTAAAATCATTGAGGGGACGACTTAGAATTTCTATTTGGAGGTGCCTCCTGATAAAAATGCGGTATAATCCTATATCCATTGAACTTCTCCGGTATACCAAAAAGAAAAATAAAGTTAGGTGTACATCAAAATAAAAGATTAATAAATATAATTACTACTTTATATCATATGGACAGGATGGTGCAAACAAAACTTGGGAACATTTCGTTGTGGACATCAACATACCTGCTTTACTATTTTTTCATACTTTCTTGCACATTGATAAAGCCTTCTTTCATCTTCTTTTGACATTGTCAGGCCGTATCTTTCTCCCTGCTTTTCTCTTTCATGAAGTGCTCGAGGTTCCATGAAAGTTTAATATATATAGGCGATGGAGCACAAGGGCTTGGGTTTAAGAAATCTCAAAATATTGGCCGTTACCAACTGCCTTGTATGCACAAACAATAAAGAGAAGAGAAAGACCGTTATGGGCTGCCATTTCTTCTTTCTTACGCATACAAAACACCATTCTTGTGATACGAAATTAGGTCAAATAAAATTTTCTCTTGAATGCATGGTCATCATGAGTTTATCAAAGGTAAAATATCCCCACAAATGAGCACGGGAACCAATAAGAAGAAAAATAAATATATTGACAAAATAAAGATTTATTAACAATAAATAGCGTAACTCCTACTCCATTCCATAGATATGTAGAAAACCTACCACAAAGGAACAAATCACGAAAAGAACAAGAAATAACTACTTGCCATGTTTGTAAAGCATCAACGGAATTGAAGGAGTCTGTTAATCCTTTCTTACAAGTTTGAAAATTCATCAGCCGACCATGGAAAAGAGATAATACCCTACAGAAGGCCTTGTTTGACTATACATAGTTCCACTGCCAAGTGGCATGATGCATGGATCAACAAATTTGTACTTCTCTTTGGAAAGTTTTAGTAACTTCATCCCTACAGCTAGCATTTTCGACATTAAGAAAATGCAATTAATGGATATGCGTGCATATCTCAACTTAATTAGTAATTTTTTTATTGAAAAAAAATTAATTAATGTATATGTTAAATTTGTTCATAAAAATTAATTAAAAAATTATTAATTTTATTATATACTAATTTATTTATTTTTAACATCGAGTTCAAGTTACATAACAAATAAATTAAAGTAAAAATGGACTTAATCCAACATAAGGTTTTGAACTGTATAAAGATAGATATATATATTTTGAATATTATGTTTAAAATGCATAAAAAAAGAAAAAGAAAAGAGTGGCTTAGTGGGCATGGAGTGGAGCTGGCTGAAAAAATGTCCAAATTAATACTTTAATCTTTGTTAACAAATTGAAGCAATTTGGTATAAATTAAGCTGGTTTTCTTCAACTTCAATTTAATTATTAAAAAATGCATAGCGTGACATAATCCTAATAATTAAGAGTCATCATCATTTTACTATAAATACTAATATCACATAATTGTGAAGATAATCTACTTTTTTGAACTTTAACAAACCTATGAACTCTCTTTTCTCAAGGTGGTCTGTTCACATATCAAATATGTTTGGACCTTAGCCAACCATCTATCTATCTCTCTAATTGTTCATTTGTTAGCACCATTCTTTCATGTTTATCACTATTTTCATGTATTCTATTTAGTTGGTAATCTTTATTTTTGTAAGTCACAATATTAATTTTTTTTTTAATTTATTAATTTGCTAACTTGTTTTTGATTTATTTTCAAGAATCTATTCATGCAATTAGTAATTTCAAAAACATTAATAGTGGCATATATATACTGCCTCATCAATTTGATTGGTAAAGTCATTTAAAATCATTTCTAAAGTGATACAAATTTTTATCTAAAAACAAAAAAAATACAAAGCAACTTGTCCAAAATAAGGTTTGATTCTCGCTGTCAATTCTCCCATAAATGGTATAGCCTATAATAAATAAATTTGGAAGTCAAAAAACCAAATAATTTTTTCCTTCTTCTTCTTCTTTTTTTTCCCCAAAAAAAAAAAAAGAACTAGCATACAAGTTGCCGTGAAACCACGTTATCGAGCTGTGAAGTGTGAAGGGGTCGCCGGGACTTTAAACAGCAAAAATTCCTTGAGTGGGTGTACATACTCATCTCTTAATGGGCAGTGGCACCCAGATTGGGTAGGAGGAATTATGAGCCCAAATTAAAGATAATGTGATAAAACTAGCCCAATAATGTTGTATTTTTCTTTTAAGAGTGAAAATGTCCAATAATTAAATAAACCGTGCATAAGCCCAAACCCAACAACAATAAAAATAATTATCAATGACCATGGGGTTTGTATGTTTTTCTGCTTATTCTAAGCTGTTCAAAAGACAATAATCTAAAATCTCTGCTTGCTCATTACTATCTCACAGGTTCAATCAAGCTGAGGCGTCCTTCTCCTTTGTTATGCCATCTAAATAATTTAGCCAAGCCATTTTTTTATTAGCCAATTTTAGCAGAACTTGCTGCCCATATGCTTTGTTAAAGGTCATTCAGAAGACGGTATAATGCAATTAAAAGTTTTTTATTCTTGAATGCATAACAGTTATGAAAATTATACAACCACACATAGGAACGTAACAAAACATTGCATGATTAATTACGTCCAATAATTTCACTCTGAAGGAGATGATGGTGCACTACCCCTCTCTTATAAAGATGGCTCACCACCCAACATGCATCCCGCCCTGAGAAACCATGGATCAATTATCTATAATTTTCAATTGATTTTCGCAACCAGCTTTCGACCTAAAGGAAAAAATAAAGGGCACCAATTACAAGGTGACTAAATATCAAGTTGAAGAAAAAGCTTTGCTTGTTGGAGGTTGCCAGAGCCACAAGCATGAAGCAACTGGTGAAGCACGATTTGTTTGTCAGGTAAAACAAAACCTAGTGCTTGGAATTTGTCTCTTCCGCACTTCATCATGTTACACATGATGCCTCTCATACCTCAATCCAACCCGAGATTCACATGGAAATTGTAAATGATAGTTCAACAGATCACCACCTCAACATGGAATGCAGAGTAAATTACACACCCAATCTACCTCACCTGGATTCTCACATTGCATCAATTGGCATCAACTTCTCAATGACACGCTGATTGCTCTCGCAAAAAGCATTTGAGTATCTTCTAGTAAAATGACCTCAACTTCCGGTTTTATTATCAAAGAAATTAAAAATAAACATTTCCATGAGCAAACGCATGGTTAAAAGAACTATTCAGATGGTTGGGTGTTGTGTAAAGTATTTCTGAATTTCTGAGCAACATGAGATTGAAGTACAACAATTCACCACATACTCAAGCTGTGTTGTAATATTTGCAAAATAAAATTCATCCATGGATGAAATTCCTGAAAATTTGTCAAATTCCAGCTAGTATATTTCTTACAGTATAAAATTATGTGGTATTGTTTGAAAACATAGAAACTACCTCAAGTAGTTATTGCAAAGTGGCTGCAATCGAACTCTCTGGAGCATCATCGAGAAAAAGAGTGCAACAGAATAACTCCTTCGTTATTCTAGGTTCTATTTACCAATTTCTCACTGGGAAGCCAGGGACCAGAAGTTCAAGAGAAAAGATGGCATCATGGCAAAACAGCTGATATAAGCCATAGCAGTAGCAGTTTCAAATCTAGCACAATGGTTCAAAGAACATCTATTAAGATCGTTGTCAATGAGGACTGTGATGCCAGCAGATGCACATGCAGCAGCAAATGTAAGGGTGGATATGATCTGCACTCGTAGGAAACCCATTTTCATGGAGTGAGTGGTGGATGGATGAGATGCAAACACTTATAAACAAACTAGATGCAATAACTAATTTTTCAATCCTGAGAAAAGATTATTCGTAAATGAGCCAAAATACAGAATCAACATCTATTAAGTCAGCTCAGTTCACATCAGACAATTTACACAGTCGACAAAAGTTCGGAGTAGAAACAGTTGGGAAAATATGTCAACCGTTCCTTATATTACAACCAGAGTCTCAGAAAAGTTTCCGAACTTCCCATTTCAGTTTTAATTCCTCTATTTGTGCCATTCTCTTGAACAGGTCCCTTAACATATCTTTAAGACAGAAGTCACTTCTCATCTTTCCCCTTATTTCTCCTCAAGATCGAAATTTATATTTTTATTACTCCATCACCAACATATTGATCATCAAAGACACTACAGATTCACACTAACACATGGGATCATCATCAAGACACACATCGAAAGACTTGTTTCAATAACATCCATCAATGCTGTTTAGCCAAAACAGAACAGATGGCTGAAGTGCTCAGTGAGAAATTAAAAAACATCGGGTCAGAGGAGATATTAGATCACCACCTCCAAGACTTATGAGTAAAATGATTACAAGAATCATAAGGACTTGCATTTCTTAATATAAATAAAATATAGAACACTCTGAGTATAAAACCTTTGTTGTACAAACAGCACTGTCTAGAAACTCCACATCCCAAAGACTACTACACTAAATGAATGAAATCTCAAAACTCATGCAATTCACAAGCATCTTTAAATTGCTTCTCGTAAAGACAAAATCCAAAAAAAATTAATAATAATAATAATTCAGGGAATCCCTTAGACATCAGATCTGTAACATAAAAACAAATGAAGAAAATTAGAGGTGGGTGCAAGGCAAGGCCTTTCTTTTTTATTTTGTTTGGAATTTTGTGTGTTGGATAGTAATTATGGTATTTGGTAGACTCTCGTGTTGGCCAAGAATATTGGTGGGTGTCTATTGAGGAGCGTCAAAAACCCATCTCAACCCAAAACCTTAAGCCATTGGGTAAGACTCCAAATATGATTTTATATTACTCTCTAACACACTCTCCTCAAGTGAAAGCCCTTGGGGCTTGAAACCTATACAGGCCCACCACTACCTTGTGCTTAGTTATTTAATTTTAATTAAAAGAGAAACTAGAGGTGGTGAGATTCGAACTCATAACCGTTTGGTTATCAAGCTCGATACCATGTCAACTAACCGCCTTAATTCAAAAGCTTAAGCTATTGGATGAGATCCCAAGAATGGTTTTATATTACTCTCTAACAAAAAGAATGGAAGAGGCACTTTCATCAATAAAAAGAACAATTTCATTAAGCTTAACAAAACATAAACCAAATATAAACAGGCCTCTGTAGATATATATGTGACAACTCTGCAAGAAAATCCAAAGTTCAGATAGATAACAGTATGCACCTCAACCATCTTTTCCCAAAATAGTCTTGCTAAGGGGTTCTTTCCCTAAAATTCAAAAAACAAGAATGTATTCTCTCTCTCAAAGAGTCATGTCTAATCAAAAGAAGGCACACAAGATTGACTACGAACTGCAAATAAATCATGTTCATTTCCATCATGTAGAATGTGCTTGCCGACTTATGCTCGGTGTTTTGAGAATAAGTGTGAATGAAAAGAACTTGATTTACTATTATAACTGCATGCATATATGCATGCACTGCTCCTATTTTCCCCTTTCTTGAAATAGGACTCGACTTCCATTAAAAATTTAAGCAATAATTATAATGTAAAGACTGTCATGCCTTACTAATCATAAGATATGATCAAAACATATATAATTTGGATTGTAGGCAATCATAGTGCCAAGCTTAAGCCATCATTGCAGTTAGAGGAAACTATAAACTTAGCTTAACTAAGGACTAATGGATGTAGAGGTTTGCAGATTAGATTGATATCATTGTAAACCAAATCAAAATTAAACCGATTTACCCCAAAGATAGCAGGATATCAAGACAACCACATGTGCTCATTTGATATGTGGTCATCTCATCATCAACTTCAGAGTAATCCCACAATGATCATCCATCAACATGGATTGCAAGATGATAAATCACGTAACATATACAAAGAGGTAATGCCACTTCACATTTTGCAGTTTACTGTATGAAGAAAATCTTATCTTACCCCATCTCCAATGGTAAACAGACGAAAAACGACCTGTTTTCGCAAGCTCCGTCTCACCAAAAGGGCATAAATATCAACAACAGCCAGGGATAGACTCCATAAGATTTGCACACTAACAGCAATAACAAGGTAACTGATGCAGCAAAACATTCATGTCAAATTAACTCTACATTTAACTTATTTCAAGTAATTCACACGAAATTTGAAAACTTTAACATATAGAAATTCAATTCTGCCCATTACAAAATAAAGAAAAGGATGAAAGGGTACTTCTAAAAAAGGATTACCAAAACGCAGTGACAGAACGGAAGTCAGAGGTGGTGGCCATGACACAGACAGAAACAAGACCAAACACGAACTGGGTCAGTCTCAGAGAGAGGCTACCACGGGTTCCAGGCATCCCTTGAACGTCCTTCATTCTCACTCTGATCAGCGCATTCTGTGGGCCATCTGTCAATGGTGGGGCCTCCACTGGGTGCACGGTCGGCCTGCTCACACTACTCATCTTAATTTCTTTGTTTACACCATAACTTAAGGCAAAAAATCGAAATTGGATTCGATTGCTTGAAGAAAGAGATTTTGATTTATTGGGTTTTTGGAGAAAAAGAGATTTTGATTGAGAAGGGAAAGAGGGTGAGAGTGAGAGTGAGAGTGAGTGTGATCAGTTTTTGGTTTTCTTTTGGAAAGAGTTGTTTAGTCTGTCAATAGCTCGCAGCGTCAATGGCCAGCTCTCGAGTCAAAGTCCGGCTGTGGTTTTGATGGGAATATGCTACAATGCCTGCACTACGTTGCGTTATCGATGCCTTTGCCACTATTTGAACGACACGTGACAAAATATATTTGAAGGGTTTACATGGTTTGCATTATTACTAGCGGTTTGCAGACGCTATCAAGCAAAATAAAATTATTTTATAATTTTATTTTTATTTAATTTAATTTAATATTTTTTATAATTTTAATTTAAAAAAATGATTTATTTTTTATGCATTGATTCTTAAATAAAAATTTATAATAATTTAAACCAAAATTTTAATAAAAAATTAAAAAATATATTAAAATATATATTTTTTTAAGAATTTATTCAAAAAATAAATTTACGATTAATGTATAGAATTGTATAAAAATTAAATAATAAAAAATTATTTTTATTTAATGCTGATGGCAAGAAAGATTTTTCAAAGTATATGCATTTGATCTATATATATTTATTTACAAAATAATCAATAATGTTAATATAAAAAATTGTATTTGAATTATTAGTTTGTTCTTTTAAAAAATTATTTTATTTCAAATAAATTATATTTTTAATATTAAAAAAATATTCATAGGAAATAGTTAATGTTGCATGTAAAAATATGTAGTTAATTTTTAATAAAATCGATGATTCAATAGTTTTTTTTTATATATACATTTTGACAATACCTAGTTGATCGAAACAAATTATCTAAAATACATTTTTAATCTTTTAGATAATATATATATATATAATTTAAAAATTCTAAGAATTCATGATATATATTACATCGGTTTAGTTTTTTAAAAAGAAAAAAAATAGCCATGTTTTAAAATTTTACTCTAATATTCAAATTTAAAGAAAAATTAATCATATTTATTCATAAATAAAATTTTATATGAAAGATACTCATTGGATAAGAATTTTCATAAAAAAATGACAAATTTAAATAATAAATTTTGAATAGCAAGAGTAACATAATCGAAATATATGTTAATTTTAAAATATAAAAAGATTGTATATATATTTTATCCTTGCTATACTGCATAAAAAATACAAATAATAACGTTCAATATCCCATAATTTTTGCCTAAAAATTTTTAATTAAAAAATAGAGAAAAAAAAAACCAAGTACCATCTATGCACGCTTGGGATTGGAGCTACCGGCCTACACGAGCCTATATAGGAAAAAAAACTTATTGGTTTTATTTTTTGGCGATCTCTATAATTTTTTGTGAGCTCGATTTTGTCGGAAAAGTTGGATTTTTTAAACAAACTTGTTTAGAACCTCCAAACCTATTTTAATTCACACATTACATACAAAAATCCAAATCAAATAAAAAAAACCTCCAAACCTATTTTAATTCACACAAAACATACAAAAATCCAAATCAAATAAAAAAAACTCAAAATATTTTCAAATCTCAATCTACATCATTTGACCATTTCATCGTTTGTCACCACCTCAAACAGATTTTACTCTTCTAGGTGAACAAATTGGTGATAAGCTCGACCATCGAGATTGCTATAATGGGCCTCGCCTTCCTCCTCTCTCCTCCATTCTCTCTACATCATTTCTCTCTCCTTTTAGTATTTAGAGACTAAAATGAATGAAATATGAAGTTGCAGATTGAAAAAACATTTCAAAAATAAAGAATAAAGTGCATATTTTCGGACAAACATTGGCAAGCACAAGAAATGAATAGTGATTTTAGAGATAATGCACAAGGTAAATGAATAGTAAAAGTAGAGACAATGCATAGTGTGTGAACAATGATTCTACAACGTTTTTCTGTTTTCTTTTAGTATATTTAGTAATATGCTCTCTAATTATCCTTTTGCCTTTAATTCTAAAAAGCGAAAAAGGAATGTTTGTAACATTTTCTTTAACACTCTCTCTTAAACACCTACTTAATAAAAACATCAATGTCAAACTTTTTTATCTACTTTTAACATTCCAAGCAACCATAAGATAACTCATGTTCCATGTGTTTTAGAAAGTTTTTAAATTACAACTAATTTTATATTATTTAAAAATTAAAATACCCATCTTTTCATTTGTTTTACTTTAAAATTATCTCGCAAAACCATTAACTTGAAACCAAGAGTTAAGATTTATCTTTTTCTTCCTTTCTTGAAAGCAAACATTGAGTATTTTATCTTTATAACAAATGAATAATTATCAATTATACTAATACTTTACACAAAAAAAAAGTATTTTAGTCTTTTAAATAATATGAGATTAATTGTAATTTAAAAACATGAAACATTAGTTATATTTTGATTACTTTTTTTTTTGTTTAAATATTTGAGGTAGTTCAAATAGTTTGACGTGACATTTTTATTGAGTAAGTGTTTAAAAAATATATATTAAAAAGAGTCTTGCTAGCATTTCTCAAAACAAAATACTACTCTAGCAACCATTTTTTATTGCAATAGACAGAGGAAACCATTACATCGCTTAAGCACATGATGAAAAATCTCATCACAATGATTCCTAGATATCAAAAATTAAGAAATATATGAATTTGAAGATTTTAAATTTAAAAAGAAAAATTAAACTTTAATTTAAAATAATTATTTGATTTTTAAGGTTTGATTTAAGATTGGAATGTTTGAAAAGTGGGTGGATGAGTTTTTTTATTTTTTTAAAAAAAGAGAAACATAGATTTTTGTTGAAGGAAGTTAAATTTGCTAGAATTTGACATAAAATCCAAATTACAATACTTTTTGCAGAATTCAACGAGAAAAAAGACAAGATATAGTTTGATCCCTAAACTTCTAGATTCTCTATTTTTACATACTATTCATTTTGATACTCAAACTTTTAATTACCTCTTATAAACCTCCAATTCAAATTTTTACATTCCAAAACTAAAATTGATTATTGTGTGTGCCAATTTTATGTTTACTTTCTATGATATAAGTTGATTTGAAGTTATTTTTATGAAATTTGGATGATTGTTTAAGATAAATTAGGAGATGTTCTAATTATCTTATGGATGCGAGGACTGCTTAGTTTTTTATAATTCAAAGATGATTTTGATTTTGATTTTTTTTGCTAATTTTCTAATATCATTTTTAATTTATTTCAGATTTGTTTTTATTTGTACTTTTCTTTTGAACATGAGTTTGTTTAATTATTTTAATTGTTAATTTTGATTATTTTGTGTTAGTTGGTATAAATTACAAGAAAATCAAGAAATAGCGATGAAAATCATGACGGTAGAGTCTATTGCTAGATAATATTATATTTTCATATATTATATTGGAATCATTAATTCACTTATTTACTATTTGTTTATTTTGTTTGACAGACTTAGTTCCATTAAGTAAATGATTTATAAAAATCGTTGCAATTTTCTATAAACGATTGGATCTCACCGGCTTCGCATGGAAATCGTCTCCATAAAGACGAAAGACTTTTACTTTAATGAGTTTGAGATAATATATTAATTATTTATTTATATTTTATTTAAAATATTAATTTAACATGAAATATAAATTCTAATATTATTCTTACATAAATGTTTAAATTTATATGTGTAACTCAATATGCTAAATAACGATATATGTCTCTCCTATTTTGTTTTTCTGAAATAGTAGTCCTTCCAAAAAAACATGGGTTTGGAATTTGATTATCAATCCAAAAAATAAAATAGTGTGTATAAAAGAAGAAGAAGCCTAGTAAAATGGTCCACAACATTAGGGATGGCAATGAGGCGGGGCGGGGACAGGGATGACGATCCCCGTCCCCACCCCGTCCCTAAAACATTTTTCCCGTCCTCGCCTCGTGCCCCGAACGGGGTAAAATTTCCCGTACCATCCTCGCGAGGCAAACGAGGCAAAAATTATATATTTTTTTATTTTCGTCTCATTTTATCCAATTTTACTATTAAATTTTAAATTATAGCAAAAAATAATAATAATTTATATAGAAAATAAATCCTAAAAGTCACTAATTATAGATTTTATATAAAATATAATTTTAATTTTAATGAAAAAAATGAGGCAAACAAGGCAAACGGGGTGAGGCAGGCAAATATCATCCCCGCCCCCACCTCGTTCTCCAGTCAATGTGGGGAATCCCCGTGATGATCAGAGAAAATTGACACGGGGCATGACAGGACAAATTGCCATCCCTACACAACATCCAACCTCTTATTATATTTATAACCAAAAAAAATATTCCCATAGCTTTTAGCAATACTAGATTTCAAAAATAACGTGTTGGCAGATATTGAACTTGCCAAGAAACCAACAAATCAATAGAAATTATAAGATCGAAATTATCTCCCACGGAGTTGCTGCTCTTGAGGGACTGGAACAGTAGGAAAGAGAGTCGTGCCTTGTGAAGCCATTTTATAACAGACGAATTGCTGCTCTTGAGGGATCTTCAATCTTCCTCTAGTGTGAAAGTGAAACAAAGGTTTGTGTAAAAGTGAAACAGGTGTAAAAATGTTGAAGTTAAAACAAAGGTTTTTAATCTATTTGGTGTGAAAGTGAAATGAATGCATTTAGTCTTACTCTTGGTCATAACAGAGAAGCTGTTGTAAAAGTTAAACAAAAACCTTTAATAAATAACGTGCCAAAGCAGTGCAAAAACCGTTTGGGAGTTTTTTATATTTTTATTTGGTTTTGAGTCTTGTATGAAAAAAATTAGAAAAGACGTGAAATTAGAAAGAAAGGGAAAAAGAAAAGTACCATGAGTGTGTCTTTTTTTATGAATAGAGAAACTACTAAAATACCAAATCCTAACAGAAAAAGAAATC